TGCACAAGCGGGTGATGGCAGCAAGTGAGACGATGTTGGGTGATGATAAAGTTTGTAGTGTTTATCACCGGGTCACTCTAACCTAATGAAAACCACGAGCAACACTATCATAAATTCGGAAGCTTGTAGTGAATTTTGAAAAGTTTGTTGTTGATGCATAAGTGTTTTTCTACGATATTTTTTTAGTGGATTAACCATATATTACGTTAATTTTGTAGTGGATTACTTTAAACTATAAAGTGGATTTTGATAACTTTGTAGTAGATTTTGATAATTTTCTAATGGATTATGTTAATTCGTAGTGGATTATGTAAATTTATATTCAATTTCATACTGATTTCTACGTTAATCGAATAGTGGTTTTCGATGAATTTATAGTGGTTTTCAATGAGTATTTAGTGGATTTCAATCTATATATTACGTTAATTTTGTAGTGAATTACTTTAACCTATAAAGTGGATTTTGATAACTTTGTAGTGGATTTTGATAATTTTGTAATGAATTACGTTAATTCGTAGTGGATTATGTAAATTTATATTCGATTTCGATACGTTTGTAGTGCACTATATTTATTATGAAAGTTGATTACGATAATTTCATACTGATTTCTACGTTAATCAAATAGTGGTTTTCGCTGAATTTATAGTGGTTTTCAATGAGTATGTAGTGGATTTCAATCCATATATTACGTTAATTTTGTAGTGGATTACTTTAACCTATAAAGTGGATTTTGATAACTTTGTAGTGGATTTTGATAATTTTGTAATAGATTACGTTAATTCGTAGTGGATTATGTAACTTTTTATTCGATTTCGATACGTTTGTAGTGCATTATATTAATAATAAAGTTGATTACGATAATTTCATATTGATTTCTACGTTAATCGAATAGTTGTTCTCGATTAATTTATAGTGGTTTTCAATGAGTATGTAGTGGATTTCATTTTTTTGTTAAACTTGCGGTAAAAAAAAATCAATTAAAAAAAATGAAAATTGAAAAAGAAAAATATTTTTTAAATTCAAATTACAAAAAAATTGTAAAAGATGAATTTATAGTGGTTTTCAATAAGTATGTAGTGGATTTCAATTTTTTGTTAAACTTGCGGTAAAAACCCAATTAAAAAAATGAAAATTGAAAAAAAAGAATTATATTTTTTAAATGGAAATTACAAAAATATTGTATAAAGAATCAAAAGAAAAACCGAAACACGTGATTTGCATTGTGAAAGAGATTAGGGGGAGTTGGCGAGAGATTTAAGGGGAGTTACTTTAGGGGAGTTATTTTAGCAATAATAATTTAATTATATTTTTATGAATATAATAAGGGTAAATGAGGTATTAATCTTAATAAGGGGTTATCCCTAATAATAAATAAAAATATGGATTTATGCCTCTGAAAAAACTGTATGAGGGGGTTATCTCATATAACCCCATAATACAAAGCTATAGGTCATTTAATATATAACAACAGAATTTATAATTGAAGTTTACAAATTAAGAAATTTTACAGTTGTAACACCTTTTGATATCTATATGTAACCTAAAGAATCCAATAATTATTTAATTCTGTTCTTAAGTTTTATATTTTTCATGCTCTAAATTTCACTGAAAGAATAGTTGTAGAACAATAATATAATATCAAAAAGAAATTGTTTCAAATTCATGCAAAAACGAAGATTACTAATAAAATATTCTAGGGAATTTCAACTTAGCACAAATTGAAATTACAATAAAACTATTAATTTTTCATTAATCTAATCTACCCAAAATAACATGCCTTTATTACTTAATTTGTCCATGGATTAAAATAATTGCTATACGCTAGGTTTCGTTATATTTAATAAATCCAATTTAACTTATCTCTAATCATCTAAAAAAATTCCAATTTATAAGGCCATCAATTTAGTTCATGAGTTTTTTTTTTTTTTTTTTTGAGATAAAACATTGGACTATATTAATCTTCAGCTTCAAAGTTTACAATATTTTGAATCACCAAAGGGAGATTCGGCAAAAGATTTGGACCCTTAAGTGAAAGTCGAGCTACTTCATGTGCAACTTGATTCCCTTTTCTATTAATATGCCTAGCAGAGAACCCATCAAACCAGCCCTTAGCAACAAGAATATCTGCAATGATAGCCCCATGCATTGATCGATCTTCTGTGGCGCCATTAATCGATGATATTACAGTACTTGAGTCACCTTCAACAATAATTTTCCGCCAACCTTTCTCTCGTGCAAAGATCATCGCATAATATGCAGCCTTAGCTTCCGCCGACGTTGGATCAAGACTTTGCAACAGGAAATGTGACGACCAACCTACGCATTCTCCCGTATGAGACCTCGCCATTATTCCGATACCCACACTTCCAAGCGCAACGTTAACTGATGCATCAAAATTCAGCTTAATCACTTCCGGCTCAGGGCATCTCCATTTGGGAATCGGATTGGATCTAGTCACATTAAGGACTCTTGCAACAGGATTATTCAACATCTCAACGTAATGCCGAACGAAAGTAACAACTTCCATTGCTTCCACTACCACTACTTCATGAAGTTTTTTATTTCGAAACGACCATAACGCCCAACAAATCAAGATGCAATTGCGGAATTGACCGTCATCCGTTGACCTCCTCATATAAAGAATCCATTCCTTCACCGTTGTACCTACCCAATTATGCACCTTCATCGGGATGTTACTTAACGCCCAAACTTGTCTCGAGAAGGAGCAAAAAGCCAAGCAATGGGATAAATCTTCACCAACTGTAGTACACGTCGCACACAAGTCATCCGACATAATTTTTCGTTTCCTTAAGTTATCTTTTGTAGGAAGCAGGTTATTGCATGCACGCCATGCAAAAATCTTGATTTTAGTAGGGAGCTGCATTTCCCAAAGCCACTTCCAGCTACAACCATCGTTTCCGGAAGAGCTACTAGATGCTGGATTTCGGTTCGTCTCCTCTTCTCGATATGCAATATGGTATGCACTACGAACCGAAAATCGTCCATTTTTGTTATAATGCCAAACTAATACATCTTCATTTTCGTCCCTCCCAAGTGGAATAGACAAAATTTTCTTCCAGTCCTCTTCAACAAAGTGCTCTTTAAGGAGCTGAGTATTCCATTGATTCTCTAAAACCAAATCACAAACCCGCATGTTCAATGGGAGAACACCTCTATGTGTAATTGGTTTGAACGTGAATTCTCTCGGCAACCACTTGTCCCTCCAAACGGAAATAGATTTTCCGTTACCCACTCGCCATCGTAGACCAGAATCAATGATATATTTCGAGGCTAGAATACTTCTCCATGTATAGGACGGATTAGACCCAAGTTTGGCCTCAAGTACATTCGAATTTGGATAATACCGAGCCTTCAATATTCTGCTTATTAGGCTCGATGGTGTCTCTAATAATCTCCACAATTGTTTAGACAAAAGAGCCATGTTAAAAGCTTCGAGGTCTCGAAATCCCAAACCCCCGGACTGCTTGCTTTTACATAATTCTCTCCATTTTACCCAATGAAGGCCCCGCCCCTTTGTATCTTTCCACCAAAATTGGGCCATAAGTTGTTCGATCTCCTTATGAAAATACGAGGGGAGTTTAAAACACCCCATTGCATAAGAAGGAATCGTCAGAGCCACAGCTTTAAGCAGAATTTCTTTTCCCCCTTTGGACAACCACTTCTCTTTCCATCCTTTTAATCTTTGGCAAATATTGTCCCGAATATTTAAAAAAACTGACCTTTTGGATTTGCCGATAACTGACGGAAGACCCAAATAACGCTCATGACGATCCACAATAGTCATGGAGAGAACCGATTGAACCGCCTCAATGGATTCACTCTTCGTTTTTTTACTAAAGACGATACTTGATTTTTGATAGTTAATCATTTGGCCCGAAGCACTCTCATAATCAGAAAGAATATTTTTAATGCTCAAGGCAGAATGTGCGTTAGCATTACAAAAAATAATAGTATCATCTGCGAACATAAGATGCGATATTTTTGGTGCTCCATTGCACACCGATAACCCCACAATATTCTCCTTTGATTCCTCTCGATTAAGCAAAGAGCATAGAGCTTCAGCGCAAAAAAGAAATAAATACGGTGATAATGGGTCACCTTGACGAAGCCCTCTCTCCGGATTAACCAGTCCAAACGAGCCCCCATTAAGAATAAATGAATAAGAACCACGCTAAAGTAAGATTTAGTTCATGAGTTACTCCTGTTACAAACCACGCTAAAGTAAGATTTTCAAGGGCAAATATGCAATTTGACAAAGATAATATAAATAAACAACAATGGGTCTTTAAGGGCCCGTTTGATTACCTCTTATTGGCCTCTTAATGAGTGATTTCCGCTGATTCGGTCAGTATAATGCTATTTAGCGTATTTGGAGGGGATATCTTAACTGAAAGATTTATTGCTTACCGATTCAGCCGCAATTCTCACGCTTATTCGGTCAGACCTAGTTATGAATATTTTTTTATTTATTTTACCCATAAATAACTTTGTAAATTCCTACCCTACCATCATAAAATATATATCTTTCTACGAGTCTTTCCATCACCACTGCTCACACATCATTGAAATCCATAGCAGACTCTGCAAGACAGTTCTTCAAATTCCCGAGTAAGTTTTCTTTTCCGGTTTTGACAAATTCTTAATCTTTGTTATAGTTTCATCTTCTTTTGTTGAATTTTCTATTATTCCATCTGCAATTTATAATTATACATAAATCAATATATAATTGAGCAGGGATGTGATGTTATGTTTGGTAATATAGAATCAAATCAATCGAATAACCGAGGAGATGGAAAAATAAATAGTAATAACATAACGATGAAAATTTATTGGTTTTTGTATCCCTCTAATTTGTTTTCTTTTTGCCTTTTTAAGCTAGATAATGATTGTATGTTTTAATTTTGTGATTAACGATTGTATCTTTCCGACGGGCGCTTACCAGGGAATTCCTTTTCTTGATTTAACCATTATAGTTTGTCTGTACATGACATGCTTCGTCAGAATGAGACTGCTAGGACAGAGGGGAGAGAGAGATAGGGAGGGCTTTTTTTAAACTTAAAATCATAAAGGTGTAAGCTTATATTGTTCTTGTAAATTGTTGTGGTCTAAACTGTAATATTACTGAAATATTCAACTGTTCTTATCAATTTCCTAATAGATTAGACACCATTAATTCCTTAATGAGCAGACACCATTCTTTCATGTGATGAGTTTGTACTTAGGACCCTTCATAATCAACTTTTTCTAAATTTACATATGAAGCAATATGGCAGAGCAAATATAACTTTTAAGAATAATTACCACCAAATTATGTGATATTCTTTTTTGTGAGACACTTTTATATTACGTTAATTGTGATTTTTTTTAATTGTTTATGCATTATATAAACTGTGTGTATATACATACACCTGCAATGTTCAAATTTAATTGTTGATGTTAGCATCACCATTTAAATATAAACTGTGATATAAACTCTACGATATAAACTGTATGATACAAATATAAATATAAATTGTATGATATAAATATAAAATGTAAACTGTACGTGAATATATACATGTATTATGTATATGCATTTAATATTTTACTTTAATCCCTTATCTACAATCTTCTTTTTGGTAGATGCATCAGAGAAAGATAATAAATTTCTTTGACAAATAAATATTCATGAATATAGGAATGGAGGAATCGGATGAAAATAATAGGGTCAGATGGAATAACAGTGAAGTACTATTTTTGTAATATTGTTATTAGGACTTAGATTTATTTCCATGTATTATATTCTAGTTAGGTATCTTTTGTACTTTGGACCACAATTATGAATACTTTGAAGAAAAATCATAACTTTGTTGTTTGTCAAAGACAAATGAAGAATCGATATGACTACTTAAAACAAAATCATATTAAAATTAAAATCATATTAAAATTAAAATCATATTAAAATCGATCAAATCCAATTTTAAAATCATATTAAAATTAAACCCAATTCCAATCTCAGCAATTCAATAAATTATTCACATGCAATCGAAAGCAATAAACACGTAAGAAATTAATTGCGCAACCGTAGCTCTGATACCACTGTTAGGGATCAGGCACGTGTACGCAGCGGAAAACAAAAATTTTATTTTATTTATATAAACAAGCACGTGCACAATAATTACAATTAATTGCATACCTTTTCACTTCCAATCACCGACAAACATGCTCGCATATATTATTAATTTAAATAACATAAATTAAATCATCATAGCATGCTCACGAAATTAAATCAAATAATAAACATGATCAACGAATAATTCAAATAAACACATAATCGAACATATAGATTCATGCAATTCAATAATCAATTAACATACATTAATCTCAATTAATATAAATTAATTAATGTATATATATTAATTAGGGAAAACGATATTTTACCTTGAAGCATGAAGATGCGGCGGCGACTAGCTGCGGTGCGGCGGCTGGTGGCGGAGGTAGGGTTTCGGCTGCATGGTGGACGACTGATGGAGGGAGAGAGGCTAGGGTTTCAAGCTTGTTATGTGTGATTTTTTTTTTGTGTGTTTTTTGTTGTGTCTTTCACAAGACATATAAATCCTATTTATATGCTCCTTGTGAAAACCCTAACAGGCCTTAAGTTGGGCTAGGCCCAACAGCTTAAGTCCACTCTCTTTCTCGGCTCGTTTCTAACAAACGAATGCTCGCATAAATATCACAATAATATCACGATTCTAATAGATCTATTTATAGTAATTAAGTAACTGTAAGGACTATATCTATGCTTATGCAAGGGACAAAGATATGGAGTGCCAAAGGGGGTATTTATCATTAATACGAAATAAATTATTTATGAGTAGCGTGAGAAAAACACAACAATTAGTTGGCTCTTTAGTCACCTACTCTAACATATATATTACTTCCAAGTAGGCCCAGAGGCCCGTGAACCAACTTGGAAGTGGGGGGCTTAATGATGTGCCTAATTAGAATTAGGCCCAAAAGCCTAATTAGGATTATGCCCAGACGGCCTTAATTAATTTTATTGTTTATGAAAACTCAATTAGCATACTTTTTATCTTTACATGACAACACATTGTCCCACTTCGATTTTCTACAAAATTTCTACCTATTCATTCACCTATAAATATGTGTTTCATTTCACATAACAAGGTACACACTAGTTTGGCAATTAATTTTTATTGTTTGCTTATATTATTATAACTTCTGACTTGAGCGCCAGAGGATAATCGTCGGGCCAAACCCGGTGTGTTATCTAGTGTTTTCAATTATTTTGTAGGATTAAAGGGAAGATTCATTGACTACCACGAGACGCGTGGCAGTAACCTTCGACATTCTCTATCATTGCGGGCTCAAAAACTGTTGCGTTGTCCAATTCTTATTTGAGCAGCATCATTCTGGCATCGTCTGTGGGAATGCAAACTCGATCACGTGACACGAAATGAAGTGGTCAAGGTAGTCTCAATCCGCCTCATCAAGGAGCCGGTGGGATCCCGGATCCGCCTCGAAGGAAGAGAATGGCGGGAGCGACCAACCTTGTGGAATCTTCAGCGCCAATCATTCAGATGACGGCAGAAGAATTGCAAGCCATGTTGGATGAGACCGCGGCCAAAGCAGCGGCTTGGGCGGCAGCGGACGTGATAGCTCAATACATCAACGCTCAAGGCGTTAGTGATTTTGAAGGGACGACTCTATCAATAAACCGTACGGATCCCGCTCATGTCCATGTGACCCCGCCAATCGTGGAGCTACACGACTCTGAGGAAAGAGTCTCACTCAGCGACCGAAGCCTTTCTTCAGAATGAGCTCCCCGAAGATACGCTCAGCCTAAGTCGCTTCAGCATAGCTCAGCCTAGGACCAGGCCCCTCGAAGGAAAGCATGTGGTCGATCACCACGCCTTCTGAGACAATAGGCTCCTTCAAGGAAGAGAGCGGCGCGAAGCCGCCGAGAGAGACGTGGGTCTTCTCGGCCGAGTGTCCCACGCCATGAGCCCCGAGACAATAGACACCGCGGACGTTCCTTGCGACGTGGCAAATCCCCTCGAGACGAACATGGAAGTAGATATTATCAACCTGAAGAGATGAGAAGGCATCACGAGAACTTTAATTATCGTAATTCAAGAAGCCCACAGCGAGAAACTTCGAGATCAACAGCCGTTCGCTTTGGAACGTTCCTTGCCTGAATAAGCCCCTTTATTTCGGTCATTATGGAAGAAGTTTTACCGCTCAGATTTAGGATCCCCAATCTACCCCAATTCGATGGAACCGGAGATCCCTGGAGTCACTTAAACAATTTATTCGCTAAGATTGACCTTTATGGCCTCAGCGACGCCACCTACTGTAAAATTTTCCAAACTACATTGACTGATCAAGCACAAACTTGGTTCAACGGTCTGCCTGGAGGACCCCTGGATGATCTGAACCAACTATCAGAACGGTTCCTTAGCCAATATTCCATCAACAAGAGATACGCCAAAACTGGATCATACCTCTTCAAAGTCAAACAACGCGAAGGAGAATCCCTAAGAGATAATGTACAACGGTTCGTCAAAGCTGCCAACGAGGTGCCGAATGTTAACCAGGACCTCCTAGCCGACATACTGCATCATAATTCGAAGCATGTTCGCTTACAAGAATCCATTGCAGGCCGACCCTCACAAACCCTGGCCGAAATTCTGAACCGAGCCGAGAAATATATCCGGGTAGAAGAGGCCGTGGAGATGGGGCTCCCTGTGAAGAGGAAACGCGAAGAAGAACGCCATGAGACAATAAGGAAAGAAGAAGGACGCTCGAACCACGCCCCTACATACCCAAAGTTCACTCCCCTAAAAGCAAAACTCATGGAAGTGTGGATGGTGGTGGAACAGAAAGGTATAATCCAACCCCTCCGAGAGATGAAAGAAAAGTCGAAAAGGTGAAATTAGATAAATATTGCGAATACCATCCAGATCGGGGCCACACTACCGACGAATGCTTCCAACATAAGCAAGAAATCGAGATACTGAATAAGAACGGACACCTTTGCGAATTCGCGGATACCCCACGACACTCGAAATTGAAAATTAAACCACATTTCCAACAGAAAGGAGAACGTCACAATCCTCGGAAAGATCGTGAGGATGATAATCTTCCGACTCAAGGAATAATCGCAGTCATTTCAGGAGGACCCTCGATTGGTGACACCCCAGCGCGAGTCGTGCATCAATGCGGGCAGCAGGAGGATTGTACTCTACGTCAGAACGTCCAGGGGGACATGTAAACCATGTTAACCACCCAAACTCGGAGATCGCATTTAGCGACGACAATCTCGAGGGGCCACGTGGTGAGCACAACGATGCGTTGTTCATTTCTACATCCAATTTACATGGGTTGGCTGGTGGTTGATAACCAACTTGGTGGGTCGGTTGATGGTTTGGTTGATGGGTCATCCATCTTTTTTTTTAATTATTAGTTGTTACAACTTACAACACTATTTTTTTTCACTATTAAACATGACTAGTTCAACAATATTTGAAGTTAAATTCAAAATTTTACGAGCCATATGTATTGCAATTAAACATTAAAAGTTCAACAAAAAATAATAGTTCAAATATTTCGGCCATATGTCTTCAAAGTAAAATGGTTCAAACTAAAATAAAGAAAATAAAATACGAGACGGCATATTGAAAATTTATGTGTTTCTCAACTAGTTAGAATTGAATAAGAATTCAAATGTACTCCAAGCCTCTGTTTTCCTCCCAAGCTCAAAATAATAAGACATGCATAAATGATTAACTAAACAAATTAAATTTCTATGGCCATGACTCCAATATTGTTCGACAGTACACAAAACTTGGTTTCCTGATGTTACATTAGTCCAAATCTCTAATTTTCTTTCCTATTTTATCATTTTTTTAGATGAAAACAATCAGAACTAATATATTTTAAAGGTAAAGAGGGGCACAGAGGGAAAGTTAAACCTGGGAGCAACTTCGCAATAATTTTACTTGTCTGAATTTGAAGCTTGGGATAAACGGGTCGCACTTCCTTGTATATTTTGTGCTGCAAAAACATCTAACTGCATAAATAAAAAATTGCAAAAGTAAAATATAATTGATTTACCAGAATAAAGAAAAACATAAAAGCATTAAAGTTTACCTTGTTCAAGTTCCTCCAGTAATGAGTAAAGATCCAATTCCTTTTGGGAAGGATCCTTGTAATAGCTAAATCCATCCGCCTTGAGCCAATCACCTGTGCAAACTAATGCCTCCACCATTTTAGGAGTTAAACAACTCCTAAAAGTATCTACAGCCCTTGAACCTAAACTAAATGCACAATCGGAAGCCACACTAGAAACCGGCATTGCAAAAATGTCTTTAGCAATTTTTACTAAAATCGAGAACCTAGCCGACTATGCTTTCCAGTATAGCAAAATTTTGAACTTGTTCTTCTTGGTCTCTATGTGGGGTTCATGCAAGTATCTATCAACCTCATCACTTAAAGCAACCACCTGAGTTTTCCTCAAAGATTGATGGTATAATATATCATCATCATCTACGTCGTCCACGTCACTGTCACCCCCCTCTTCAAGCAAGAGATCATTATCACCACTCCCATCATTGTTATTAGCTTGATCATTTTTTGGCAACATCTGTCCATACTCCTTAAACATATCATGGAGCATTTTTTTACTTCGTCTTCTATATTTTTCACCGTCTCTGTAAGAACTTAATTTTTCTTAAGTTGGAAACTCAAATAAGGCAACTTGTACCTTGGATCAAGAACTACTGCAAGATAAAGAAAATGATTTGTCTTCTCCCACTTTCCCCAATAGGTTTGATATTTCTTCTTCATGCTTGCTACCACTTTATGCAAGACTTCATCATCAGGCTTCTTCGTCTCTTTATCCAACAAAGCTTGGATATTCAACAATTGTTTGAATACTAAATGAGCAGTGGGTGTTTTAGAGGCACTTAGTTTGAGGGTTGTTTCATAAAACACTTTCAAGTACGAGACAAACTCCTTAGCGGTCTCCCAATCCATAGTATCCGGGCATCGAGTATTATTGTGATCCTTAAAGTACTCCTGATATCCAAAATCTAAGAGACTCAGCATATCAAAAACCTTAGAATATTTCAAAGCTTGATCCAACATAAGATATGTGGAGTTCCACCTAGTACACACGTCCATACAGACAATTGGATGCCCTTGTATATCTTCATTCCGAGCAAATTCTCTGAATTTCTCTAATCTTTGAGGTGATGATCTTATCACTTAATATTTTCATGCCATCTTGTACAATCAAATTTAAAATATGGCAGCAACATTTCATATGTAAGTGAGTTCCAGCCAATAAGAGTCGCTTGTTTCTAGTAAGTCTTCCCTTAAAAATATCAATAGCCTTGCCATTTGCGGAAGCATTATCAACCGCAATGACAAAACTTTCTCAATCCCCCAATACCCCAACAAACATTGTTCCAAATCTTTGGAAATGGTATCACCTTTATGATTGGCAATTTGACAAAAAGAGATGATCCGTTTGTGCATATTCCATTCATCATCTAGAAAATGAGTTGTGATCACTACATAATTAATATTTTGAATAGAGGTCCATGTATCAGTAGTGAGAGACACTTTTGCACAATTGCACAAAATACTTTTCAACTTTGCCTTCTCCTCCATAAAACAATTCATGACACCTCTAGCAATGGCCGTGTGACAAGGCATAAGAAATTGATGATTTAAAGCTTGACAAAAAGCTCTAAACCCGACTCCTTCTACCATATTAAATGGATGATCGTCTATAATTATCATCTCAATTAACTTTTTTCTAGCATAATCCTTGTCATAGTGCAAAGGAGAAAGCTCGCCTTTATGGTTATTTATCAACAGGGGTTGCTTCGGATCATTTGTATCCTTCCTAACCGGAGATTTCAAGCAACCATAATGCACATGGTGCATCATGTTAGATGTGCCATAGTTCTTTAACCCGCACCGATACTCTTTGATCTTGCAATGGTTGCAAACAGCTGTAATGGGCGAGAAATACGTGCAATCTTCGTTTATTTTATAGTGAAAATGTTCCCACACTTCAGACTTCTTCTTTCCAGGCTTGAAAGTAATTTGTTGTGACGTTTGATTAACATTGATTTGAGATTTTGGTCGAACATGAGATTGACGGGTTGAAATAGGCTTCTTCATTCTGCAGTTGCAAAAGAATTAAAAACAAATCAGAAATAATAAATCTTTAAATTAATTATATCACTATCAACGATACAGTAAACCCTAAACACGTATAAATAGATAATATATTTTTAAAGAAGATTATATTATTATAGTGATATACAGCTATACTGTATGCATTTTTAATTTGATTTTTATAAAATTTAATTTGGAGAATACTAAACCCAATTATTAACGGTAATCAATTATCAAATAAATGCACAAAGAAGAAAATAAAGTAAAACTATTACCTGACTCAGTCGTCGGTGATGGTGAGAGAATCAAGTAGGTGGTGAGTACTAAGTACTGGTGAGTGGTGACGGCTGGGATTATGAAAAGGGCGGGGAGTGGTGACAAAAAGTTTTCGTGAGTTATTGTTATTTATTAGCTAACCACAAATTAGATTATGTTGGATTTATTGTTTTTAGGATTTTGGTCAATATTAGATAATTTAATAAATGTGATATAAAATAAAAATTTGAAATTAAAAAATTAAATATTTTAAATAAAATTAATAAATAATAAATTAATAAATAAATTTGGTTGGCCGATATTACCCAACTAACCAACTATTTAGCATATTAGAAACCATTATCGACTCAACTATACATAGGTTGGTTTACATTATCGACCCAACTTAAATGGGCCAGTTGATGGTTGATTAACCGTCGACAATTATGGGTCGAAAATGGGTTGGCTGATGGTTAAAACCGATCCGTGCACAGCCCTACGAGAAAGAGTAGGGCACGAAGAAAAGTACCACTCAGTTCTTTACTGTCTTCTCCTTCTCCACCAATTCCAATTTCTAGTTTCTTCTCAGGTGCGCTGAAGGTCGAATGGCGGTCCTCATTCTCCGAATTGGTGAGTTCTTCACTCTTTGATTTTCCCCAATTTGGGTCTTTATTTTTTTTTTCCGAATTTAGTTCTTCACCATTTGAGGGCAAGGAAAAACAATATCCAATCTATTTTCTATATCAGATGAATGCCCATAATCTTGCTAATTAGATTAAAGTAAACTAATCGGATGAATCTCCGAATCACTTCTTCCCCATTATAGTTGTTTCAACCTGTTACTTCGTTTAGTTTTTTATTTTATTTAAATGGTAGTGAATAAATTAAGTTTAATTAATAAATTAATTATGTAAAACTGTTTGTGGTGTTTGATTGGTTAATTAATTACGTAATTAAATATTACTGTCTCTTTTTATGTTTTTGTGATTAATAATAGAAAAACAAAAAAGGGCAAAACCGAACCCGACCCTAAATAACCGAGAGTTCGGATAATATTTTTTTTGCAAAAAACCCGAATAACACGAGCCAAATAACCCGAATAACCCGACCCGAATGCCCACCCCTAGCAATAGTAGTGGATTTCAAATTACTCCAAATTGAAGTTATTTCAAATCTCTTCCTCAAATCAAATCCTCCCTCCAAATCCCTCTATCAAAATGGACCCTATAATAAAACTTTCCTCAAATCAAATCCTCCCTCCAAATCCCTCTATCAAAATAGACCCTATAATAAAACTTTCTGACTTCAGGTTAATTGATCTTGGCTTTTCTACTTTTCTATTCTAACAGAAAAAAATTGTTATTGTATTCTCAATCTCATAAGCCATGAATAATTAACCATACTTTCACCCGGAAAAAAAAAAAAAAAAAACAAACCGATATCCTTCCGTATATGTATCAGATAGATAGCTGTGTGATCATTGTACCACTACGAACGGGGACTCTTGTTCCTTTACTTATCAAAAAATAAAAAGAAAATTAGAGTTACCGACACTAAAGACTTCTGACCTTTTCTACTTCTAAATCTAGCTAAACAACAATTAACCAAATAATGATATGCATTACAGATTACAAAAACAGGCTTATCAGCTGCTACTCAGAACTGGTTGCGGTACACATCTCCGCTCAGAATCATGGGAAATTGAGATTTTTCGCAAGGAACGGTATTGTAACCGAACATTTTCTCCACTCTCAATAATCTTAAGTAAATACCTGCACGCAACGCATTCACATATCAGCATACAATTTTAACGAATCACCAAAATTTCATGCAATATGGCACTGATCACTGCCAGTCAATCGAAAACACAAACCCTTGCGCTTCTATGTTAAAACATAACGAATATCATTTTTTCCCTCTTTTTAAAAGGAGGAAAGTGACTCGAACCCGTTATCAAATAGGTCTTAGGTGCACTTACCAACAGGTCCTGTCTTGTCAAATAAATATCATTTACTAGCGTTATATTTATGTAACTCACCATCCATTCAGACACTGCGACGTAATCACCGCTTCCTTGTCAACAAACTTATCAGGTGTCCGTCTGTTACCCTGCATGGTATGTTTCGTTCAACAGTGTCTACAAATGAGACAAAAAATCGTGCCAATCAGATGAGGGATAAATTACCTTTATAACAACCTTCTCATTAACTGTGAAAGGATATTGTACACCTCTATTCAACCCATTTTCTGGAGTAATATCACCATTTTCCTGGAGAGTTGAAAAACTAACATTAAAAAAATTGTAAGAACAATTCACAAGGATATTTTCAGAAGAATCTAGAATAACACAAGGAAACCTACTAAGATCTAAAGATGGATATGATCAGACCCCGATCTCTATGCGACCACAAAGTCGTCATACTTTATTGGACTTTTACCAATGAGAAGAGTTGAAATCTAAAACATTTCAGGACAAAATGCACTTTGCCTCTTGTAGTTTTCCAGATTCGCACTTTCTCCCTCAATAATTCAAAAAAGAGACGACTCCTTTTCAAAATATTACGCTGGTTGTATTTTGCTCAAAAAGTCAATTTTTGGTGGGCACCATGCAACAAAATATCATTTTAAAGGGGCAACATGCAACAAAAATAATATTTTAAAGGGGCAATGTGCAATAAAAATAACATGTTCAAGGGTCAACGTGCAACCAAAACACCAAATTCCGATGAATAACCATTGGAATTTGGCTATCGGGGTACCGTGCAACATAAATAACATTTTGAAGGGGGACACTCACTTTTTTTTATATTTGAGGGGTGAAAGTGCGAAAATTGGACCTTCATAGAGGGTGAAGGGTAATTTGTCCAACATTAAATATGAAATAGATCAATTTAGACTAAGTTATTACATGCTGGCGAGAAATTAAATTTTACCCTGTGCTCACTTGCCTCCTTCCTGCGTTTCCTGAGAGTTGCATTATGAAATAGTCTGCGATCATCCTCTTGCTTCACTGCAAGAGCTGCAGCTCTTAAAGCTGTGTGTGTAGCAGAAACAGATCACAACCACAAGCAACAAAATGTACGAACATGGTAAGGATAGCGAAGGTTAATGGGTGTGTGTGTGTGTGTGTGTGTGTGTGTGTGTGTGTGTGTGTGTGAGTGAGAGAGAGAGAGAGAGAGAGAGAGAGAGAGAGAGAGAGAGAGAGAGAGAGAGAGAGAGAGAGAGAGAGAGAGAGAGAGAGAGAGAGAGAGAGATAGAGAGACGTTACCGTGATTAGGGATCAACGACCCACCCTCAATTTCAGAATTGCAGAGTATGCATTTGCACTGTAATGGCATAAATAACTAGACAGTCAAAATAAATTCACAATTACAGACCTAATAATTAAGGAGCTGTTTTCAGAAGAAAATAAATGGAAACAAAATGATTTACTAATTATTAGTTCAAAGGCCAGGCCTCAAATTTTATAGTCTGGGTGTGCGCTGTTCTAGCTCGACTAGCATTAAAATAAGTTGTAGAGATACTAAGATTACTTGTGGTGCTTTTGAGAATAGTAAACAGCAAAAGAATTGCGGTTCAGTGCATACAACCATGATTTCAGATTAAATACAAGATTTCAGGTAATGAAAGGAACTAGCTAGACAGTCTCAAAAACGAGGAGATGGCTTCCTTTTTCAAACGTGTTAATATTTCATTTGTGGAAAATAATGATGAAAAGGATTGTGGGAACTCACTTTCTTTACAAATTTTGGGTAGTTAGAGAAAGGGGATATGAAAACCGTTCTCGTCTCACGGCAATAACAAAAAGATAAATAAATGCTAAAATTGAAGAAGAACAATAACAGTTGGTTTTACACTAACGGCAGATAACCCTTTTTTATGTGCAGAGAGGGCCTATTCCAGTTACTGCAGCAAAACCACCTCTCAAGTAACATATGTGTGATATTATATCCTTTTGCAGTTGTACATATTTATGATGCCCATTACAACTGTAGAGGAGAATTTAAGGACATTGTGATGAACGTGTAGAAGACATTATGGAAGATCTAAAGTTTGTTACATTTTCTTTTTTTTTTTTTCTTTTGGGGCCAAAATAATGTGAAGTGATGTTTTAAAATTTTCCCCAGCAAATATCGTAACAGTAGTATACACCTTTTTCCCATGAATAAAGACTGGATTAACTTCAAGAGCAAGATTGCCCGGAGAGCTCAGGTTACTCACATCGGGGGACAAAATACAATTACATGAAGGAGGATAATATGCAATGAAAACTAAAAAGAATATTTGATTTTACATAGATGCCCCTGGATTAGTTGCATGTCCGCAAGGCCGCTTAGCTACAAACTGTTGAGTAAAGCTATACATGCAGTTCAATAATATTTCAGCCAGGACGCAAGTCAAAAACTACTTTTTAGTGATATTATAAACAAGGCTTCCCATTTATGCTTGTTCAGTTAGGTAATGAATGTAAGTTCTGAACTCACCGTTTCAATGACCTTCCTCAGCATTAGACCACCAAATGAATGCCCACAGGAAACTAGCATAGCATCGTCAAGGAATGCGCCACTAAAGAATCCTCAATTTCCAAAAGAGAATTTAGAATACAAGAAAATATCATTCACAAATCATGTCTATGATTCATTGATAGATTTGACAAAGAAAACCTGTCTAAATAAATAGCTCCAGATTATTGATATAAACTAAATTGTGGAACAACAAAATGGAGTGCACAGATGCAAGGTGGAAGGAAATTAGTGCCTTACTCAAGTACGGAGTATAAATGCATATTTTATCATGTATTGTAATTTAATAATATAAAATCAGATATTACTAAGCATAAATTAAAATATTTAAAGATAAAACCACATTTAGTTTGCAAATATACAAACAAAACACTCAAAACTAATCAAAATCTGAAAAATATCAACATAACTAATCTTCATCAGGGGTACTGGGGAGTAAAGATAACATAATGCAGTGGAAAATAGTTGTTTTTTGTTGTGACATCGATGTATGGGTCGAAAAAAGTTTGCAAATCTATATAGGGTTGTAGTACTTGTAATATATTTTAGCTATTGTTTTTGCAAAGACTAGATTTGTTTATAAAGAGAGGTGCATAAAGTAAAAGTGCAGGATATCATATCTGCTGGTTGTGTCATATGGTCTAATCATGATTGCCATGTCAGCAGCTCCGTCCCTAAAAGAAAGATTATCATAATACTCTTAAACAAATGGACTTGATGCTTGTTTTCTTGATAGTGTCACTTTTAGAATACATAGTGTTTATTAAAAAAAAATAGATACTGACCCGTATAGCATAAATTCAATATCATTTGATTTCACAATTTCGGCTCTATTTTATACATCATTCTATAATTTCAACCTTATCCATTCACAGTAGAAAGGAATAAAAGATACTGTTCAAATTTACCGAAAGAAAAGGGGACGAGCTGAACCAGTTACTAATGAGTTAAAGAGAAAATTATGAACATGTCAAGGATGAGATTTTTATCAATTCAAATATCATCCACCTGAGACACACATAAAGCAATTGACAAAGCACCGAAGAGCCAGTCTAACTTACGATAAGGAATCGGAGAGCACAGTTCTCAATGATGGTTCCATATTCAAATTATCTGCAGGTACCTGTCGATGCATATCCAGATTGAGAACTCACTAACTACTATAATCAAATTATATCATCTTCTAGAAAAATGAGCAAGAGATATTAAAACTATTGGCATTTTGAAAGAAATCCAACCAAAACAAAAGGATTCCATCTCAAAACAACACGGAAAAACAAAGGAAAAGAATGTCATAAAAAAGGACTTCAAAATTGAATCTAGTTACTCTTGCAGTCAAAATATTCTTTTCAAAATTGAATATAAGTATCAGCTTGTAAGGGGAAAAAACATTAATATTGGATTTTCTGGGAGCAGAATATGACTGAATCGGGTAAAAGCAAAAATTAATTACTCAAGGAAAAAAAAAAACATGAAGGAGAAGTGCTTACATAAGTATTATCATTATGGTTACACAAGACATCTTCCTCAGCGGAAAGGTCATCCATAAACTGACTTACAGATATAGGCCCATAGCTCTGAGGAATTACATGCCCAGCTGCCGCAATCGGAGTAGAATCTAGTATTGCATTGCCTTGTGGCATTAGCCGAAATATCAACGATGTCCTGGATGATGAAAGTCAGCCACTAGCTGAGGAAAAAACCACATTACACGAATTCAAAAAGAAAATGTTGATACCTTCCACCATTTGTAGGGATCATAAGATTGTCAGATATAGTCCGGTATGAAGAAGCAGGTCGCAGTCCTGCAGTGGCATGGCTGAGAGCCTTTCCAGTAACAAGTAAGAGTTCCCCGGGCGCCATGCAGCTATCTGCTTGGTACCAACGCCCACTGTTATCACAAACCTATAACCAAATAGACCATTACAACTCTCTGAGACTTTAACCTTGTACAGCTTGATACAACTGAGGCCTCGTTTGGTTGCCAAGATAGGATTAGCCAAGATATGATTAAATAATCTAATGAAAAGCCAATTGTTTTATTGGACCCCGAAAGGTCCAACAAAAAATCTCCCTAAAAGGCTAACATGATATTTCCGGGTCGACCTCCAGGGAGTTATTGGGTTTACCAAACATCAAACCAAATCCAATTATTTAGTTAATCATGACTAATCTTCCCAACCAAACGGGACCCTTAGAGATTTGAAATAACAGTCTTCTTCACAAAGACAATAAAATATCCCGAATTAATAGATTTTACATATTGGTTCAATAGAAGATCTTGGTAAATAAAAATATCATAAGAGCATTTATATTGAAAAACTAAATAGTATTGGATTAATATCATCATAATCATATTAATATGTATACCATAACACCAGGGGCATCTGAGGAAATCAGCATTAACAGACCCTTCTCCACTTCACAACTGACTGCAATCTTCCCTCCCCCAGTTGCAACTTTTCCTTGCTGCAATGAAATCTGGGAGAACGTTGCAACAAGAACTGACGAAGACGCCTCATTAGCAGGCAATGGGCTATCGTCAAGCAAGTGATTGAAAACACTGCAGAAAAATGAATGTTTCGACACAATATGTAAGTATTTACACAAGTTAATGTGTGTCAAGTGTTACTAATCAAGGAAGAGCAGTTCCGGTAGTTGTACAGGGATATGTAATATAAAAAGAAATAAAAAATAAACACGGGCACATTCTTACTCGCTTCGCAAACGAAGATGTCTTGCTATCGCACATAAAGCAGCACGAGCTGCCTTTCCCATGCATCTAAAAATGTCAGCCATGCACGGAGGAGATGAATCCACATCTTCAAGAGGCCTGTGTAAAAATTGGTAAAGTTAGATAGTCGAAATATGCAATACGGAAGAAATCCCTTCAGACCTAAACACAATATTAAGAAACCTTCAAACAGAAAATTCAATTAAAGATGAAAATCCATATCTTAAATCTCTAGACAAAAAATGTAAAATGTTGAGTAAGGATTGGTAACTGCTAAGCTCTGACACCTTACTGCCAGCACCTTATCCTTGAATGAAATGCAATGACTTTTCTGCCCTTCTTGAGTACATAGGTATGAAGTATGTCAAAAAAATATTCGAAAAAGTGCACAAGGCGTCCAGGTGCTTTCACCTTTCATTTCTTCAATAACTTTTCTGGTACAACGAACATAAATATAAAAATCGTAATTATGGGCAGAAAGAAAGAGCCATGAAAAAAGAGATTATTTCAAAAACTTTATGACGTGAATCAAACACCAGACAAATAATGTTAGACTACCAAACTAAAAGCAAAAGGCGTTCATTGAACATGCACTACAATCAATCTAATTCCCTTAGTTTTGCCCAATTAGATTTATGTTTACCAAGTATGGATCAGCACCACTAAGTCATTGCATTAATCCAGTAGCTGAAGATGAGCCCATGAACAACATTCGGAACATAACGGACTAATATTAGCAAAATTCCATAGTTTCACAATAATTTTGACAGAATCATAAAAATCCTCAAAAAATATAGCTGCTTTCAAAAGATTGTGAAAGTAAGTGAGGATAATAACTGAATATAAACAAATAAGAACAGAAGAAGAGGAAAAGATAGTGAAAATGACCTTCCAGCCCTGTAGGTATAAACACCTCGACCACCCTTCCTGGTGCGAAAGTAGAGACGTGAGGAATCGATTGCGCATCGAAGAAGGGCGGAGTCTTCAGGGGAAAGCTCAATGATGGCGGCGTTGTGGCGGTCTAGGGAGGTGGACAAGGCGTCAAGGGCCCGTAAGTAGGCGGGCATTGGGGGTCCATCGTAGGGCAAAATATCGGAAAGTCGAATTCTACATGGAGAGTCCGAAGAGAGAGGACAAGGCGAAGGCAAACGGTAACTGTGATTGTGAATGTGGGATGATCTATTACTGCAAATAGCCTCAGAATTGGGCGCGGGAGGATTGCTCTGATTCTGGTGCTGATGCGTCATCACCAGCCAGCGATCATTATTTCTCTTCTTCTTCTTTCTTATTCTTCTTATTGCAGAAAATTATGCACAGCCCCATAAGGACTAAAAGATACTAACAAACTCGTGCTAAAATCTCTAGAGTAGATTCGGGCGTCTAGTCTTCTTCACTTGCTCGATTCGCTCAAATCGAACCTAGGGTCGCCGGTGGTGGTGGACTTCACCGGCGAGAGATGATTGGGAATTCGGTTTTTCCGGCAGCGGTGGTGGTGGCCGAAGCAGCACGATGTGGTGACACGACGCTTTTGGGTTGGTAAGAACGAAATTAGGGCTTCAATAATGTTTTTTGAAATTTTCGATTATTCAGAAATGTGATTTGGGCAGCGTCAAATGAAAATCTGATTTAAGGCCCTTAACCTTTCAATAATTCGCAATTTAGTCCCCGCATTTTATGATATCGTTAAATTTTCTAAACGCCATTCAACACTAATTCTCTTTCAAATTAGGGCATCAATATTTTGCCATTTTGCTAAAAGTTCGCTTTTTTTTAGGACGAAACGACCCACCTTCTTCTCCTCCACTACATGCATCCTCTTTGCAACCCTTCAGATCTGCTCCACCCTCGCTCACCGTTGCTATTATTGTCGAAACTCTTCTGCACACAATCATATACACACGCACACACCCACATGGTGACACACACACGTACATACACCATTTTTTGTTACACCTTTTCCCCTTCACTAGAAGAAATCAAAGCGGAAAAATGTGAAAACTGAAATATAATTTGGTGATGGTGGTGGTGATGGTCTGTTTGATGATGGTGATGTATGCACTAGAGATTTAACTTTTTTGTTCAATTAATTTTAACTAAGCCATCGGTGTATTGAAATTTTACGTTCTTCGTGTACTATTATGTAATGCATATATTCCTGTAGTGATAATATTATGAGGTGTTTGTCATGCTCATAAGTTGTTTTTGCCTATAAGTTGTTAAAAACAACTTATAAGATGTTTCAGATTTTATAAGTTCATCAAAAGTATTTGGTAATTTTTTCAATAAATAATATGTTGGGGAGCTTATAAGACATTTATAATCAAGTACTGTTACCCATTTTTTTACGGTCTTAGAATTAGTAAAAATAACTTATAAGCTAATTATTCAAATAATTTAAAGTTTAATTTAAAACTAAGACGTAACAACTTATTAGCTCTTAAAACAACTCATCAAATGTAAGAGTTTATCAGATATTTAAAATCAGGTTAGCCAAACACCCTCTTGGTCTAAGCTCTTGCTTATTCATGTAACTAAGCTCCGCATCTATTCATGAAGTGATAATTCTTAGCCTAAACTCTTGCTCATGTATATAACTAATCTCTGCGAATAAAGTGTCTAAGTTGTATGTCTATTTATGTAGTGATATACTTAATCTATGTATATACTTTAAAGTTCTTAGTGTGGGTTACATGTATAACTGATGTTCAGTGCTTGAACGGTAAAATCGTAAGTCACGGTTTATAAAACTCAATTAGAGGTCTTTAGGGACTTTAAATGGTATCAAAATCCAAATAGAAGATTCCATGCGAAAGGAGAAATATTCATTGACCTTTAACCATACCAAATATTTTTAAAGGACTTTTATTTTCGCTAATGTTCCCCTAAATAAATAAAATGTAATTAAAAGAGAGGAATATTTGAAAATTTCAACCCCAAATAATATTTTATGTATTTCTGATCATTTAAGCCCTAAAGTTTGAGTCTTTTGTTGCTACATCTCTTTTTTTAGTTAAACTTCAGTCCCCATAAGAATTTTAAAACTCTTTATACCCCCTTTAGAGTTAAAGTTATACGTCATTCCCTTCACTTGACGAAATATTTGGAATGTGCCTAGGTTTAAATCAGAATTACATATGTCTCTACCTTCTGATCCGGGCACATTTGCCCCATAAAAGCTCCGCAAGGAAAAACCCAATTTATTTCAGGTTCAAACCCCCTTGAAGCTGCCACTAGCCTATCACCCTTTCTCAACAAGAATGTGCGGCTGGCATATGAAACTATAGCTAGCTTTGCGGCTAAATCCTGGAAGGTCACATCACTCCCACGAGGGGGTATAGTTGCAGAGAGGCAGTGGGACCCATCGCATTACCTAAAGGGTATGTATAAAGCAGTCTTAATGTACAAGAATGCATTTTAAATCTAACATATATTGTCATTCTTACACATATAATATCTTCTTAAGAAGACACCCAACTGACTTGATCGTCGAAATGCTAATGTCGGGAGACTCCCCTCGTCAGCGGCGCCTTTGTTGGACGGGTTTAGGTCGCTCATGGTTGTGAGTGGCGGGGCTGGCGGCGACGGTCGGCGAGGAGCTTGGCGCAGGTATGGCGACGGGGAAGAGTTTCAAAGGAGGGCGGTGGGTTTTTTTTTTTTTTTATTTTACGTTTCTTTTAATTTTTTGTTTTATTATTTGGTCTTGCATGAACAAACAAAAGCCAATTTAATTTATGGGTATATTTGTCATTTCATCTTAATAAAATAGAATCTTTTGGAATATTTCTTAAATTTGGTCTTGCACGATTGAAACTAGTATTGCATATAGCCGCGACCATTATAATATCGGATTGGGTGATATTGATATACCCATCGGCGGCAAATAGAATAGGGACAAACCCTGGCCGAGAAAATCCTTTGACATACATCCAGATGGGCAAAAGTACTACTGTGCCCTTATATAAAATTTTCACCCAACTGCATTCAACATTTTCGCCAACTCCATTTAGGACTTTTGAACTTGCATTTATCATTTTCGCTGATTTTTTTTATTTATTTATTTGTAAAACATGTTTGTTGTGTTTGTTTTATATATATATATATATATATATATATATATATATATATTCTTTCTCTGAACATTTTTTCTCATTTTTTAATATTTTTGTATTAATTTTAATCTTTTTTAAACTCCATATGTTTATTGTACTGAAAATGACTACATGTAACTGTAGTAAACTATAATCATTAGTGGGAATGTTCATTCTTTTTGCCCTAAATTTAGTCGATCAATTATGTATACACACGAATATCACCGCTTATAGAAAAAAAATCATAAACACGAACAATAAAGTTCACAATTTAAATATTTATATCATAAAT